GTTCTCACACTGCTGATAGACATACCTGAGACTGGGCAATTTACCAAAAAAAAAAAAAAAAAAAGAAGTTTAATTGGACTTACAGTTCCACGTGGTTGGGGAAGCCTCAAAATCGTGGCAGAAGGCAAAGAGGAGCAAGTCACATCTTACGTGGATAGCAGCAGGCAGAAAAGAGCTTGTGCAGAGAGACTTCGATTTTTAAAACTGTCAGATCTCGTGAGACCCATTCACTGTCGTGAGAACAGCGCGGGAAAGACCCGCCCCCAGGATTCAGTCATCTCCTACCGGGGCTTCCCAAAATATGTTGGAATTATGGGAGCCACAAGATGAGATTTGGGTAGGGACACAGCTAAACCATATCAAGGGCCAATTAGTAAATATTAGGCTTTGAGTGTCAGATGGTCTCTTTTGCAGCAATTCAACTCTGCTCTTGTAGTGTGAAAACCACCAGGGACGATACAGAAATGAATGGTGGGTTTCCATTCAAACTGTTAAGCAGACAGTGAGCTGGCCATAGTTTGCCAACTCCTGATCTCAAACATGCTCCCTGCCCTTTCCTTGAAGAATCCAGTTGTCTCATAGCGTGTTTCACACCCTGGGTTTGTCTGGTTGTTTCTTCATGATTAGTGTCAGGGTAAGCATTTTTATCAAGAGGTCTACAAAGATGTTATACATTTCCCATTGCATCCCACTGGGAGGCTCATGTCAGTGGTCCCAGAATTTGACCACTTGGTTTAGCTGACATTGACTAGGTCCCTCCATTGGGAAGACGCATTTCCATTTTTGTAATTAATAAGCAGTCTATGAGTGGTAGTTTGAGATCACATAACTATCTTACTGCCCCATAGCTTCTCATCCAGGGATCCTGTGGTCATCCTGACTGAATCCATTATTGCATTGGGGGTTAGAGAACAATGACCTATTTTTTTTTTTTTTTTTTTTTTTGAGACGGAGTCTCGCTCTGTTGTGCAGGTTGGAGTGCAGTGGCATGATCTTAGCTCACTGCAACCTGTGCCTCCTGGGTTCAAGTGATTCTCCTGCCTTGGCATCCCGAGTAGCTGGGATTACAGGCGTGTACCACCACACCTGGCTAATTTTTGTATTTTTAGTAGAGACAGGGTTTCACCATGTTGGCCAGGCTGGTCTTGAACTCCTCACCTCAGGTGATCCGCCCGCCTCGGCCTCCCACAGTGCGGGGATGACAGGCGTGAGCCACCGTGCCTGGCCAAGATCAATGACTCTTCTCAATCATGCCTTCTGTTTTTATTGGCTGGCATTCTTCTATGAAGAAAAGCTGCCTCTCCTCTTTTTATTCCTGTGTCTTCAATATCACTGTGAATTCATGATTTTTGTTTTTACTCAATTGTTTGTAATTCATCATTTACATTCTTTAGGTGACCTCAGTTTGGCCAGTGAGGGGCCTTCAAGTTGGCTCCATTCCCATCACTTTTTGTATATCCTAGCTTTTTGACCAAGATGTTCTAGTCTTACCATGTACTGTCTGTCTTGGACCTGGAATTAGCCATTTCCCCGAGGAACCCGGTGCTTTTTAATGGAGAGTGGTATTAGAGACCAACATCTGGGTGTCAGGTGTACTCATACCAACTGGTTATTATCAGAAAGAGCTGCCAATTTCCAAATTATATCTATTTTGTAGTTGTATTTTATGGATTATGGGAGAGGCTGAGCATATTTTCATGTTTTCTGGCCATGTCCATTGCCTTTTTGTGAATTGCTTACTCAAGTCCTTTGTGGGATGTCAATCTTTTTCTTACTAAAGTGAGTTAATAACATTACAGCATTTAGAATAGTCCCTGACATACAGTAAGGTTACATATTGCTGGAGGATATTACTTCGTATTTATTCTTTGTTAAAAGTATCCAGAGTAACTTTTAAACTCAGTGCGCTGGACACATGTTGCTCTTCTGCAGTCACCGTGGGGAGAGGACCTGTGCCTGCATCCCGTGATGCTGTCTGCCACTGCCCAAAATGTATGGGTCTGCAAGTCACACCTCCCTTGTCATTCACTTGGCTCTGCTTCGTGGTGATGGCAAACATGGGCTGGCACCCAAGCCCTAATGACAGAGGTCCAGGCCCTTCAGCACCGTGTGCAGCCTCTCAGCATGGACAATGGGCCCCGAAGTCACTGCAGCTCACTGTTCCTCTCCCACCCTACAGGAAGTAGATTGGGAAGCAGAGCTGGCCGTGGTCATTGGAAAGAAAGGCAAGCATATCAAGGTGAGGTGGAAAGGTGGGGCTCCCAGGCCAGAGTGTAGCAGAGGCCCCAGCTCCTGCCTCTCCCAGTGCTGACCTCTCACCAACACACAGTGCCAGCTGTCCCTGACCCTGGGAAGCGGTCAGCCTCCTTGCTCCCTGACACTGCCTTGCCCTTCACCCACCTTTGGCTGGTCCTGGCTACTAACACGGGATAACAGCTTAGAGATCCTTTGCCGAAGGTGTTGGTGTTACCCGTGATCTAACCTCCTGTATGGCCACATCCCCTGCCCCATAGGCCACAGATGCCATGGCCCACGTGGCCGGCTTCACTGTGGCCCATGACGTGAGTGCTCGTGACTGGCAAATGAGACGCAATGGGAAACAGTGGCTGCTGGGGAAAACCTTCGACACCTTCTGCCCTCTGGGCCCTGCCTTGGTGACCAAGGACAGTGTAGCAGGTAGGTCCCTGGTCCCTGCCCCCTTGTACCTACCATTGCACAGATGAACAGCATTCCAGGGAGGAGTGTGGGTTCAGGTACATGCGGTGCCTGCCCTCCCTGGCCACCCTTTCACTGCTGACTCCACACAGGGCAAGTCTCTTACCCTCAGCCATGAATTCTCCCATGGACTTCCTTCCCAAGTCCCCTAGAGGGAACACAACTGCAGAGGATGTGAAACTGCAGGAAGTAAATGACAACACTGAGCTGATGGGTGGATCAGGCTTCCTGTGGCTGCCGCCATCTGAAACAATCTAAGTTGAGCATCATGGAGCATAGTTATCACAAGGCCCTGGCATCTTCCACAGTACAGGACATGAGAGCCCGTGTGACTCACTCAGCCATTGTGGAAACAGAACAGCACCGACCACATACAGTGAGGAGACAGCGCCAGGACGGGGGCAGTGCCCCAGAGCGTAGAGCGCAGCCTCTTAACACAGCCGCCCACAACTGTGGTGGAGATGGGGGGAGGTGTCCATGTGGGCCAGCCATGCCAGGATGCCAAAGACCCCATTACCTCACAGCACCCCATGCAGAGTCCTTAGTAAAGTTAAATTGTGTTTCAGCTGCTCTACTTAAGGGGAGTAGAACACTAAGACCACCACCAACAGTTGAAAGTGCTGGTTAGCCAGGATGTTCTTACACTAATCCATCCCCTGCCATCTTCCATTACATGAGGCTTCACTGTCCTGGCTAGAACTATTACCTCACTGCTTTATAGATGCTAAGTCTTTTTTTTTTTTTTCTTTTGGAATGGTCTTACTGTGTCACCCAGGCTGGAGTGCAGTGGCCCAGTCTCAGCTCACTGAAGCCTCAATGTCCAGGGTTCAAGCGATCCTCCCGCCTCAGCCTCCTGAGTCGCTGGGACTACAGGCATGCATCACCACGCCTGGCTAATGTTTTTATTATTTTTTATAGAGACAAGCACTCACTATGTTCCCCAGCCTGGTTTTGAACTCCTGAGCTTAATCAGTCCTTGCCTGCTTTGACCTCCCAGAGTGCTGTGATTACAGGCGTGAGCACCAGGCTTGGCCCTACCCAGGAGGCATTTTTGTATCTACAGGTGTCATCCGATGCTGTAGACAGATGCCCTTTTTTTTTCAAGGCAAAAACCGAGCCATTTTTCTCTCCCTCTTCAGAGTCTGGAACATCCTCTCAACTCAGCCCTGTGACTACTGCCGGGTGCTCTTGGCGGGGATGCAGGGAGGCCTGAAAAGGCCAATGTCTATACAGAAAGTTCTAACGTAAAGCACTGAGTCAATGTGGGCACAAAGCCCTTTCACCTGGCAAGTCACAAAGCTCCGCTACAGTTGTGTTTATGAAATACTGGGGGGCTTAAGGGGGGAAAGGGATAACCCCAAGGTACCATCTTTGCATTTCAGATCCACACAACTTAAAGATCTGCTGCCGAGTGAACGGGGAAGTGGTCCAGAGCAGCAACACCAACCAGATGGTATTCAAGACGGAGGACCTGATAGCCTGGGTCTCCCAGTGAGTGCCAGGGCCTGTCCTGCCAGTCCCACTCCATCCGCCCACATGTGGAGGCTGAGCTGAGCCCTCCACCCTTGGCTGTGGCCACCTCAGCCAGCCCCTGGTCTCACCGGGTCCTTTGGCTTTGCTCCAGGTTTGTCACCTTTTACCCAGGGGATGTCATCCTGACTGGGACCCCCCCAGGTGTCGGTGTATTCAGGAAACCTCCTGTCTTTCTCAAGGTAGGTTAGCGAAAAGGAAAGAGAGCAAGGGCCCCGAAGGCCTGGCAGGCTTGGCTCAGACCTGAGAAGTACAAGCTTGTGTGGATGTGCGTGTGTCTGACGGAAGGGCTGACACCCTCATGGCCTGCTCTGTTGCAGAAGGGGGATGAAGTCCAGTGTGAGATTGAAGAACTAGGTGTCATCATCAACAAGGTGGTGTGATGGCTCCTGCACAGGCCCTGGACATAGGATGGGGGCATCTGCTCCCACTCAGCCTAGCCCAGGGAAAGGCCCAGTGACAGGTATGGGCAGGTGCCGGCCCTGAAGCCGCCTCTTCTGGGTAGAAGGGAGGAGGACAGAGCTCTCTTCAATAAATTTGTCAGGCCAAAGCAGCAGCTTGGCTTCTGCTGTTTGTCTTCTTTTGGGCTTTGTTTCATGGGACAAGTCGGGGCATTTTGTGGGACTGGGGAAGAAGAGAGCAAATACACACGCATACGCCACAAAGATACTCCTGGGCTTGGGAAAAGACAACCTGTCTGGTCCCCTTGTTTATCACATCAAAGGAGGGAGAAAGCAAGAGATGGCAAGGGACAATCAAGCCTCAATGATTATATTTATAGACCAGCTAAGGGTTTGCAGCCTCCTCTCCGTCTTCTGGCTCTAGGACACGGCTGTGTTGTGGGGCTGAGAAGTCTCGGCACAGGCTCCTTCTCACAGTTCTAGCTACAAATGAACTGCCGGATAAACTGTTCTAGTCTTTGCTGATTCTCCCGGCTGGCAAAAGTAGGGGACAGGTGGAGCCTGGGGCCTGCAGGGCTCGGCATCTGCTGCAGAACCTGGGCCATGGAAGATGGGCCATGAGTACCCTCAACACAGAGACTGTGTCCACCGGGCCCACGGGCCAAGTCTGTCCCCCAGAAACCTGCCGTGAGACCTCAGTGTTTTGTGCAAAGCTGCCTCAAAGCAGCCCTAATACCCCACCTAGAAGGATGAGCCAGTGATTTGGGAGACCAAGAGGCAGGAGACCATCCCATCTTCTCCAACCCATTACCACGTATGTTGCTGGAAGACACCAAGTAAATCCCAGGGTCTTAATGAGACACCATCACGCCAGCCCTGTGGGGTGATGGGGACGTAGCTGGGTGTCCCTGAGCCACTCTATTGGGGTGGGAACGGGGACAGAAGATGGTGACAGTGGCTCCTCTCACCCCTAGGTCTCTGAAGGTCCAGATAGCACTGATGGCGAGCTTTGGGTCCGCACACTCTGGAGAGGAGAGAGAGGTGAAGGCTCTAGGTAGGGAGGACAGGGAGCCACTGGGCACAGGGTTCTCTTGTGTAAAGCAGCAGCCCAGGGAGGGCTAGAGCTCAGACTGGACAGAAGACCCTCTGAACTCTGCAGCCGCCTTCCTAGAGTTGGGTTCACTGTCCGGCAGGGGGCAGCAACCACCAGCAAACACCCCTGCCTCCAGGAGCCTGGGCTGACTGGCTGGGACTCACCAAAGATCCCTTCTTCCTGGGCGGTGGCCTGGAGGAACTGGAACAGCTGTTCTGTGTAGCCCGACTCTGCGAAAAAGAGAAGACCTAGACCTGGTGCCCTACACAGACAGCCTGCCTCGAGGACTGCAAGGGAACAAGGGCCTCACCAGTATCGGGCAGCTGGCCCTGGTGGAGGAAGGCGGCAGCCTGTGCAAAGGCCTTGAGCAGTGGGCTGAGCAGGCGGCAGAGGAAGAGAAAGAAGTCTGGGCAGTGTGACTGCTGGCTGAGCTGGGGGGGACAGGCCGGGGTGAGCGCAGCTCCCCACCACCTCCCTACCACCTCCCTCCAGGGGCAGCTTCTTGAAACACACCCTGAAGTACCGGCCCTCAGCCTCTTCAAAGTCATCACTGTCACTATCAGTAAAGTCCCCACTTGGTTTCCACAGCAGCTTCCTGCTCAGTCGCTGTCGCCCTGTGTCACAAGCTGACCGGGAGCCTGGGGTCTAGGGGCCATGGAGCCATAGTTCTCTGACAATCTGGCCAGGGATCAACCCTATACCCCCAGACCAGGTACATGCAGGTGAATCCAGTAAAAGCAGACCTAGAGACCCAAGAGGATAGCCAGAGCCATGCCACAGCACCTGCTGGGCCAACTTGCAGAGTGGGAGGAAGTGAATTCCCACCCTCAAGGGCAGTGGCCATGTCACCAAGAAATGTGGGGAGCAGGAAGTGTGCAGAGAACCTCAGAGGCACACATGTCCAGTGCTATCCAGAGAGAGAGACAGAACCGGGGCATAGGTGGCCATTTCCCAAGGCACAGAGGAGAGGTGTGAGCTAGGCTTCCCCGCTGCAAGGCCAGGGGCAGTCCACCCCCACAGCACACACAGGGCAGAGGAGGAGCCTGGGGCAGCTGGCTTCAGGGTGTGAGGCTGGAGGATGCCAGGCCCAAGGGAAGGGTCTTGTCTCCAGCTGCCCTCCCTACCTCCTCAGCGACCAGGAGCCCGCACTGGATGAGCCGGTCCAGCACCTCCTGACAGTAGCAGTAGGAAGACTGGCAGGGCTGGGGAGAAAAAGGCACCCATATGGCCTCAGGCAAGCCAGGCACATGATCAGGGGCCTAGCCAAAGGCCGGGCAAGGCCAGACCTACCACCCAGGAGGTTTCAGAGGTAGGGCTGGGCAGGGTTGGGCCATTCCTGCCACCAAGAGGGGAAGGCCTAGGAGCAAGTGGGCCGTAGGGGAGGCCTGACCTTTAGCAGCAGCAGGTCTTGCGGCAGCAGGTGCATCAGCAGCAGGATCTGGCGGTACAGCTCATTCTGGCTCAGCAGTAATATGCCCTGCAGCTCCCAGGGCCCCTGGGGCGGCACTCTGCCTGCCAGCAGCCCCCGTACTGCACAGGCTGGGGGAGGTGGGTCCATTATGAGGATGAAGCTATTCCTTTCACCACTGCACACACATCCCACCTACACCGTGCACCTCAAGACTCACCGCCCACAGCCTCGCTCAGGAAGACGGGCAGCAGCTCAGCACTCAGCCGTGCCAGCTGCGTGAGGCCTGGGCCAGGCCGCGGCACCACCAGCAAGTCGCCCTGGCGGATGTGCAGCAGGGCCACGTGCGCCCGCAGCAGGCTCAGAGAGTGCTTCAGCAGGCTCCGCAGCTGCCCAGAGAAGCCTACATCAAAGCCACGCAACAGTATCTCCTCCGTCAGCCAGGAGAACTCCCCCAGGAGCTGTGACAGGAACACGCCCTGGGTGGGCAGAGCAGGCCTGAGCAGGAGAGCCACACCCCACCCCCCGCCCAGGTCCCCACCACATGGCACCCGCTACCTTCTGGTGCTTGAAGAGCAGCAGTGTCGCCATGATGGCCGTGCTCATCACCGCAGCACTCCCCACACTGGCTGGAGTGGGGCGGGGTGGGGGGTGGAAATGCTGGTCAGGGGTTGAGGCCCAGCAGCCTGGTCCCTCCATTATCTGGCAAGTCTTCCTAGCCACACATCCCAGCTCACCCCAGGGATGAGGAATGTACGCCCGGAGCAGTGGCTTTTATCACACAGGCTGACAGCCAGGCCAGGAGCTGGGGGCCTTTCCCTGGATCTCGTCCTGGGGCCCACACACCAACCCACAGCCTCTACTACAGAGGGCCACTGGAGACGATACTGATGGCTCTCTCTATAAGGGCCCTCTGCACAGGCGCTCTGCTAAGCCCTTACACGTATCATTCCATTCAGATAACACCATCCCCATCCAAGCTAAGGAGACTCCCCTCAGAAGGCAGGGCTGGGTGTGGCCTTGGGGAAGCAGCTGCAGCCTCCTGGCCTCAGGCCACCATCTTTGTGCATGCACTTAGCTGCTCCCTCATGCCAGCCCTGGCTGCCCTGCTCCTCCTGTAGGAGGAGGGTTCCATTCTTCACATGTCCCCGAGGTACCATAGAGGGTCTCACGTGCAGACACTCACTTGGAATGGAGAACCCTGGTGACTGGCTGACCCAGAGAGGGGACGATTCAGGGAACCACCCCCAAAGGCCCAGATCTGGTTCACCCTCACCACTCAGGACATGACAGCTCAGTCTCCTGACCAGGAGCTGGTCCTCTTCCTTGAGGGCCAGGAGAGGCCCAGTTATGGGAGTCCACTCCTGCTCCTTCTCAGTGTCTGGGACGGCAGTACTGAGATAGAGACACAGATTACAGAATGAAGGGACCAAACACAAAAACAGCTGTGGGAAAGCCTAGAGCTTTCTAAAAGGTGAGGGTGTTCCCCCCTCCCAGCCCCAGGACAGAGGATGGCTTCTATAAACCCCAGTCCCTTCCATGCCTCTGTGCCATATTCTCACACTCAGACTGCTGGGAAGGCGAGTGCCTGGAACTATCCAAGATGACCCCAGAATATGTGGTGAGAGAGGTCTGCTAGTGTGTGTATACTGGGGGGATACAGACGCTGGTGCTGAAGGGCTGCCTGCCTTGCCCATGAGACCGCACGATCCCATGCCCCTACCATTGGCCCAGCACGATGGGCTGCAGTAGCTGCTCCAGGGTCTGCCGGCCGCCCCAGCAGCTTCTGGCACTGACGATGTATTCCTGCCCAGGACAAGGTTCTTAGGTGGCCTGCGCTGGACTATCAGGAAAATTGCACACAGCCCACTGGAAGTAGGCAAAGCTATCCCTGCAGTGGCTTCGAGGGCCAGACTGCCAAGATGCCTAGGACAGACCCCTTAGGGACTCCCAGCCTTCCCCAGCTGACTCCATACCTGCAGGGAGAAGGGCTGAGCTAGGTGCACCCTGGAGCAGATCCGGCGGCTGCAGCCCCAGTGGCTCCACAGGCTACGTAGCACAGCCAGAGCTCCTGTCCACAGCCCCAGGGGGGCCGAGGCCTGCAAGGAGGGAGAGGATGACTATAGTTGCCAGGGGCACTGCTCTGGAGTAGACATCAGGGCTGCCCACCCATCCTGGTCTCCAGAGGTATACTCTGGTCCCAGCATGCTCAGTTTTATCTCAGGCCCAAACTGGTGCATGACCTTGTCCCAAGCTCCTCTTTTCTTATCCATGACACAGGAAAAATCCCTCCCTATCAAGGTCTTCAGAGGATGAAATGAGATGATGGTAATGGCCTTGGCAGGTGCTGCCAGATGATTCCTTTGTAGCCCCAGCAGCCCTAAGAGGGACTCAGCCACAGGACACAATATTTTGCCTCCTATCTGGAGCTGGTGTCCACCCAGGGGCCCAAGGGCTGGAGGGTCTCACGTTCTCACATGGTATATGTCACACAGTGCATCTGGAACCAGGTCATAGGTGACGGCCACTGGTACCAGCAGAGCATCTGGGACGATGCCCACCTGGACTGCCTGCACCACAAACCCCAGCCAAGCCTGGCCCAGGGCTGACAGCCGTGGCCCCGGGGACTCAGGAGGTTCCTCCAGGAAGATGAGCAGGGGCTGTCCACTAACCAGCAGCTGCTCTATGACCTGGAATAAGTGGGGACAGGGGGTGTTAAGGCCAGAGCAGAAACAGACCCCTGGTCCTCTTAGCCTGGCCCATATGTAACCACTGGGGGCACTCACCGCCTGGACCACAGCCCTTGCAAGGAGCCCCTCAGAGCTGTCCAGGGAGAGGTTGGCCTCTGGGGGCAGGAAAAGCCCCCCAAGCTTCCTCAGGAGAACTCTGTGGGACATAGGGCAGAACTTGATAAGGAAAGGGGCTCTGGAGATGAGAATGAATAACGGGCTAGTGAGAGTCTCAGCTCCCCCACGGCCAGCCTGTGTCCTACTTGAATACCCTGAGGTGAAGCCATGGCCCTAGGCCCTGTGGCTGACCCCTCCATCTAAGCCCCACAGGCCAGACTGCTGTATGGTTGGGATGAGAGGGCCATGAAGAGAGCTTAGCAGGGAGCTGCTGCCAACACACCCCAATACACACCCCACCCCAGCCTGCGGCTTCTCCCACGTATGTCTAGAGGCAAAAGCTTTTTACCTGAGGCAGGGGAGCAGGCGCGGGAGTCCCAGGCCACACGGAGCACACCCAGGCCCTGGGAGAGCAGCATAAAGGGTAGCAGGATCCCGTCCAGGAGGTTTGTGAGTAGAGAGGAGGACAAGTGGCGAGCCCTGCTCCGGGAGAGCCAGAGGGAAGTGCCAACCTGCCCCACCCTGAGGACACAGGCAGCCAAAGACCCAGGGCAGCCCGAGGGAGGAGGGTCCAGCTGAGAGTTCTTCCTCTGAGCACATTTCCCAAAGGCAAAGGAGCGTTTAGACAACTTTTAAGGTAAATGCACTGATGCACTGACGTAATGGTTGTTAAGACCATGATGGAAAGACATTAGAGGAAGCCCCGTGGGAGCAGGGCCGTGAGACATAAAGGGAAGGTCGGCAAAAAGCAGGGGATTTTTCCCACCAGCTGATGGGGACTGGACTGCTGTATGGCAGGGAGCAGAGAGGTCAGGAAGCAGGACCAGATGGGGGCTGCTCCTCACTTATGGGCTTGGCCCAGCCTCTGCTCTTCTGCTCCCACCATCCCCATCCCAATGGAGGGCGGGCCTTACTGCCTGGGCGGCCTTCTGGACCATCTTCATCTGACCCTTGTGGAGCTGCACATTCAGGAAGAGGCAGTTCAGGAACCGCAGCAGCGCCCAGCTGAACAGCCTGGGGAGGGACACCAGGCATGAGGTGCAGCAAGGAGTGACGCTCAGCCTGGGGCACTTGGAGGGCCGCCCAGTGCTCCTCTAAGGCAGGCCCCACCACTGTCCTCATTTTACAGAAGAGGAAAGTGAGACTCAGGGAAGCTACAGAACTGCTTCATGGTAGCGAACACTAAGAAGTAGTGGTGCTGGGACTGGAAGTTCTGACACCACAGTTCATGCCCACCAGACGCTGCTACTCTCCCACAACCTCATGGTGCAGCTGCCTCACATCAGAATCAGAGCATCTGCCTCCATTTACCCTAAAGGAGACTAGAGAACCAAGCCTCTCTCCAGGCAGAACCCAGCCTGTTCTTCGCAAACTGCCAGGAAAGGTCAAATAAAAATGAAGGATTAGTGATAGAAGAAGGAAAGGGGACAACTGCAGGGGCAAAATCCCTGGTGGGCAGGCAGGTGGGGTTGTCCATCCAGCCCAACAGGAAGACCGGCTCTATTTATTTTTTAAGACAGGGTCTTGCTCTGTTGCTCAGGCTGGAGTGCAATAGCACGAACTTGGCTCACTATAACCTCTGCCTCCTGGGCTCAAGCGATCCTCCCACCTCAGCCTCTCAAGTAGATGGGACCATAGGCACGCACCACTGTACCCAACTAATTTTTTGGAGAGACAAGTTTGCCCAGGCTTGTCTATGTTGCCCAGGCTGGTCTTGAGCTCTTAGATGATCTACCCTGCTTGGCCTCCCAAAGTGCTGGGATTACAGGCATGAGCCACTGCACCGGTGTAGGACCAGCTTTAATTTAGGACAGATACATAGCTGCAGTAGCAGGGAAATGTGACAGATAAGCAGCAAGTCCCCATGTGATGGTTTTTATCTTTCTGTGAAGCATGAGATGCGGCATCAGTTGACACTGGATAAGTCTAAGAAGGAGCAGGCTAGATGGGAGCTCTGGAGGGTGCCATGTGTCCCTGTGACATTTGCACTTAGCAAGGAAACCAGTCCACTGGTGTGTGTTTCTCTAGCAATGCTGGGCTGCTGAGGTGCAAGAGAAGGCAGACAGTCGGGGTCATGCCTATGATTCCCTCCCAAGAGCATTACTCGCACCCTGAGCCTGCAATCTCAGCTAGGCTCAGAGGGAAGGCAACACAGACAGGGAGGCTGATGGCTGATGTCAAGGGACATCAAGCACTAGAAATCTTAACAAAGTCAAGGAATTGTCACAGTGGAGGGCTGGCCAAGGTCACCAACAACCTCTACTTTCTGTCCTTGCTCAGTTGGCCACTCAGCATATTCAAGACAGCTGAGCTTGATACATGCTGCCCCAAGCCCTCCTGCACTCAGGGACTCATTCATTTCCTTGGCTTTAAACACCATCTGTATGCTAAAGCTTCACAGTGTCTCTGGCCCCAACCTCTCTTCTGAGCTCCAAGCTCCTACATGCAACTGCCTCCTCAGTGTCTCCACAAGCATGTCAAATACCAAAACTCTCTGTCCAGATTAGCTTTCTGGCCAACTCACTTCTCCCATAGCCTGTTCTCTGTACATACCACCAGAAAGTAGGCTAGAAATGGGGCTGTCCTGTAACTTCTCCAATTTCCCTCACTACCCTTGCTCCCACCGTCCAGTCCATCACTGAGTCCTGTTAATGTCACCTCGATCTCTCAATCCACTTTTCAACCTCTACTGTCCACCATCATCTCGCACCTGGACTAACAAAACAGCCTTCCAGATGCCCTTCTAGTCTCCACTCTTGACCCTAATCCACGATGTCGTCACTTCCCACTTAAAACCTTGCAGCTGCTTTTCACTGCACTTAGAGATCCGGTCCAAACTTGCACAGCTTACATGATTGATCCCTTCTGCCTCTCATTTCACCTCCCACAGCTCTCGAACCCTCACTGCTGGGCTTCCAACCACGTCAGCTTCTTGAGCAAACCTAGTCCCTCTCCTGCCCAAGATCAAAACTCAGGCTATTCCCTCTAGCAAGACTGTTCCCCTCATTCTTGTACCCCAAGGCTGGCTCCTTTTCCTCCTCTTGGCTCTGGCTTAAACAGTCTCTTTGTCCCCTTACTGGTATTCTGTCTCAGCCCTGTTCCCTCCTTCTTGCAGCCACGCATATCTCTGTTTGCCCCTCCATTTCCCTGGAACAGTGCACTGCATGTAACAGAAGCTCAGACCTGTGCTGGGGGAATGTGGGGATGGGAGGCGGTGGGTGAAGGGAGGCTGCAGCCCACTCTGTAAACACTACCCAGCTCCCTAGGAGGAGAGTTCAGCCACTTCCCCACGCCCAGCCAACACCCCACTCTCCAGAAGGACAGTCCCCAGCCCAAGGATTGAGTTGCCCCTCAGCACAGTTACCTGACCAGGAAGGACGGGGTGAGGCCTGGATGTGACGCAGGATGCGCTGTACCTCTTTCTTCACAAGTCAGGGAGGCCTGGCCTTCGCCAGCGCCTCCTGGGACCCTTCCTGAGAGGAGGTTCTGCACCCTGTGGGGGGGTTGGGAGGAGTGATATGAGGCTGCAGCAGGGAACGGCCTCCAATCTTCACCCTTCTCCTTAAGGAAGGGTCCCAGGCAAAGCTCACGCTCTAGAAGCCTTGCCCCAGCCAGCCCTCTGAACCACCCCTACCTACTGTCATTGTCATCCCATTCAGGATCCCAGAAATACCAGCCAGACCTCACTCCCTGCCTCCTCACCCGGTGCTTTCCTCGATCTTCTGTGGGGCATCCTGGCAGGGGGGATGTGCTGCTCCAGGGACCACAGGAAATAGCAGAGCCTCCGAACCAGCCAGCCCCGAAACCTGGGCACAGCTCCCAGAGCAGGAGGGAAGATCGTTCAGAGAGGGCCCACCTCCACCAGGGCTCACAGAGGGCTATTCATCAGAAAGGGACCACACCCCAGTCCCATGTCCCAGGAACACATGAGCAGAAGAACTGCCTGTCCATCTGTGCCCCATTCCCACCCCTCACCCTGCTGAGTCGGGGACAGGTTCACAGCCTGAAACACAGTGGGCAATCCATACATGCTCACAGAAGGAACTGCAGGAGAGCTCCACGTCTGCCCCTCCCTGCAGGCTTGTGGAACAGAGGACGGGCCCTTCTTTTTCTATCAGAGCAAGAAAATGGCACCAAAAAGCAGGGCCCCAGCAGCCCTGCACCCAAGGGGCCCTGTCCCCAGCCCTGCTCCAGTCTGTAGCTCTGACTACCTGGTGTTCTCCTCCTTCACCAGGATCACACTGCAGAAGCCTAGGTCCGTTATGCTTCTGTGGAAGAGGGACTCCTGCCACAGAGGGGGAGAGACAGCATGTCTTGGGGGACCTTTGCAAACTGGCAAAGAAAAGCCCCTGTGCTGCCCTCTGGTCTCTGCCTGGCAGCCTGCCAAGTCTTCCAGGAGAAAACATTACAGCACCGTATTTCCCAAAGGCGTTTGACCCCAGATCCTAGGCTGGCTCAGGAAAAAGGGGCCCATGCTCAAAACTAAAGTGCTGTATCCTGTACAGAATCACCCTTTTTCAGGTGGCATATGAAAGTCTCCAGGAAGCTATCTTCTCAACACAGAGAACAGGCAACCCGGGTCTCCACGAGAAATCTGGGCCCCCTCACCACCATCACGTGGCACGAACCGAAAAAGAGGTCTTCAAGCATGAGCTGAGTGCTGGGGAAGTCTGAGAGGGTGGTGTCCCCAAAACTGAACAAGAAAACTCACACGGGCATGATGAGACCCCAGCCCCCTGGGCACACCCTACCACACTTAGGCCCCTCTGCACTTCTCCCACCCAACTCTCCCAGGCCTGGGAACAAGCCACAGCCCAACCACACAACCAATCCCAGTGCACCCCTTCCCCTGCAAGACAGAGGCAGAGGCATGGGGCAGGGAAGAGCCAAGCCTGGAAGGGCATAAAGGAAGCAGCTTCCCAGAGCTTCAGCTCCCAGAACCAAGCTTCCTGGTCGCAG